ACTTGCACCGTAGTGAGTGCATCGAGCTTGTAAACATGCCTACTTGAGTTATGTTTTAGCATGTGTCAGTTTTCACTAAGTCTATGATCTGGTTATGTTTTTGCTATGTTCACGTGCTTGTAATTGTATTTTCTGATCCCTTTTGGCTCAAGGTCACTAAGGGACTTTTGTTAAGCTCTTTGAGTAGCTCCATGCCATGCTTTACTTTGCCATGTTCAGGTCCTGTAGCATGTAGTTTTGTTGCTCCGAAGAGTGCTACCTGATCTGAAATTCCAGACAAGTGTTAATTTCACTAAGTCTGAGATCTGTTTGCCATATGCATTTTTGCCATGCTTGTTTGAACCTGTTAATGGATGAATTGGCCGTAGCTCAGTGCTAGACTTTTGTTAAGCATCTTGAATGCCTCCCTTCCATGTATTTTGTTGTCATGTTTGAGTGCTGTAGCATGTTCATCTCATTGCATTTAGATGGCTACTTGCTGTAAATCGCAGAACGTGGCCATATTTGAATCGCTTGCCATTTCCAAACTGTAACTCCGATTCCGGCGTTCTTTATATCGTTTTCAAGCGATTTCATCTCATATTTCCAGTGGCACACTTGGATTCCCAATTTGAGGCCAGGTTCTTGCATTTCCTGTCATATCTTGCATTTTGCATCCCGCATCGCATCCCGCATAGCATATCATCTTTGCATCATCTTGTTTGATCCTTGCACGTGGTTGATTGTGTCCTTGTTGCTTGTTTGTCTTGTTTGGGTAGAGCCGGGAGACGAGTTCGCTAACGAGGAGCCCGTTGAGTTTTCTTTCGAGGATCCAGTCAACTCTGACAACTGTGCAGGCAAGATGATCATACCCTCGAAATCACTACTATCTTTGCTATGCTAGTTTGCTCGCTCTTTTGCTATGCCAATACTACGATGCCTACCACTTGCTTTCAAGCCTCCCAAATTGCCATGTCAAACCTCTAACCCACCATGTCCTACCAAACCGTTGTTTGGCTATGTTACCGCTTTGCTCAGCCCCTCTTATAGCGTTGCTAGTTGCAGGTGAAGATTGAAGGCCATTCCTTGTTGGAACATTTATTTACTTGTTGGGATATCATTATATTGCTATGTTATCTTAATGCATCTATATACTTGGTAAAGGGTGGAAGGCTCGGCCTCTCGCCTAGTGTTTTGTTCCACTCTTGCTGCCCTAGTTTCCGTCATATCGGTGTTATGTTCCCGGATTTTGCATTCCTTACGCGGTTGGGTTATAATGGGAACCCCTTGATAGTTCGCCTTGATTAAAGCTTTTTCCAGCAATGCCCAACCTTGGTTTTACCATTTGCCACCTAGCCTTTTCTTTCCCTTGGGTTCTGCAGACTCAAGGGTCATCATTATTTTAACCCCCCGGGGCCAGTGCTCCTCTGAGTGTTGGTCCAACCCAGAGCCCCTTGCAGCGCCACCTTGGGGAAACTCGAGGGCTGGTTTTAGTTGTACGGATTGCTTATCTGAGTGTGCCCTGAGAAAGAGATATGTGCAGCTCCTATCGGGATTTGTCGGCACATTCGGGCGGTGTTGTTGGTCTTGTTTTAACCTGTCGAAGTGTCTTGAAGAACAGAGATACCGAGTCTGATCGGAACGTCTTGGGAGGAGGTCTATTCCTTCGTTGATCGTGAGAGCTTGTCATTGGCTAAGTTGGGACTCCCCTGCAGGGATTTGAACTTTCGAAAGCCGTGCCCGCGGTTATGGGCGGATGGGAATTTGTTAATGTCCGGTTGTAGATAACTTGAACCTTAACTTAATTAAAATGAATCAACTGAGTGTGTTACCGTGATGGCCTCTTCTCGGCGGAGTCCGGGAAGTGGACACGGTGTTGGAGTAATGTTTGCGCAGGTTGTTCTCTAGTTTCTCGCTCGCGCTTTGCCTCCTCTTCTCGCTCTCTTTTGCGAATAAGTTAGCCACCATACTTGCTAGTCGCTTGCTACAGCTCCACTCATATTTACCTTGCCTTACCTATAAGCTTAAATAGTCTTGATCGCGAGGGTGCGAGACTGCTGAGTCCCTGTGGCTCACAGATTACTATTACACCAGATGCAGGGCCTGATGATTCCGCTCCAGGAGACGCGCTTGAGCTCAAGTGGGAGTTCGACGAAGACTCTCAACGTTACTATGTTTCCTTTCCCGATGATCAGTAGTGGTGCCCAGTTGGGGGTGATCGGGATTGTGTCGCATGTTGGGTTCTCTTTTATTTTGGCGTCATAGTCGGGCCATGAGTGTTTGGGTGTTGTAATGTTACTTATGTACTTGATTGACGTGGCGAGTGTAAGCCAACTATGTTATCTCCCCTTTATTATTTATATTACATGGGATGTTGTGAAGATTGCCTAACTTGCGACATATACCTTCAATGCGATTATGCCTCTAAGTCGTGCCTCGACACGTGGGAGATATAGTCGCATCGAGGGTGTGACACCTCTTCCCTAGGAGCATCTAATGACTCCCTTTAGAGATTAGATAAAGGAGAAGAAAGGATCCTCACCTTTTTTTCCCAGAGACGACCCTGAGTTATGGAACCCACGAGATGAAGTGCACCTTGAAGACGAGGGTTTCTAACAAGCTTTGTGAGAGAATTAAGTTTTAGTTTTTTGGATTGGATCAAATCAAGTTGCACAGTTGACACACTTATAAATAGAAATAGGAATGGGTATAAGGACTTGTTCTTACAACTATATATTTGCGAACACGATCATCATGATAGTTGTTTGCATTTTGAAAATCAGCACCAAGATGTGCTTGCAACGTTTCGAAGCGGGGATGTGTCCAAATTACGTCTTGACCGATACATGTCCTACATCAAGAGTCACTTGTCCAACCGATGGCTCTATCCGTCAAGCGGGATTGCCTCGGTAATTAAGATAAATCAAACAAAAGCATTAGGCATTTGATGGCTACACCTTGTGTATCCCTAGAGATAAGATTCATGCTACTGTACTAAACACTTATGTCACTAGTGTTCAGAATAGCGTTTCACGGTCTCTCTAGCCGTAGCCTCTCCATGGCTCGATCCCTATGATCCTGGGTACCTGCAGGGACAAAGATCGTGAATGAGACAAGGGACAACTACGATGCAATTTTATTTCACACATACAAGACATCAAAATACTTGCATTGGTCCCTCCAACAAATGCATCGGGTTGCAGGGCTATGCCTCAACCCATAATCTTACTGAGCTACTCACACACGGAGATCAGTTCGTGAGAACCATTGAAGAACACATCATGACGATTGATTGAGTGATTGATGATATGTCTTATAGTAGTTTTCGGATGTGATACACGATTACATGGCTAGTTGGATGAGTGCTACGGTTCAGTCCGGGTGTTCGGTCTTTTCGGTTTGTTCGGTCCAGTCTTTTCGGTTTTTAAAAATTTGGCCTTCCATAATTGAAGACCAGATTTTTTGGGGTCTTTTCGGTTCTTCACTATTCAGCCTTCAGTCTTTAGTATTTACTATTCAGTCTTTGGTACTGACCAAACAGACCAAATTAATTGCTATAACTCAGATTTATGTTACTTTCAGTGCCAGTTGTATGCAAACTGCATGGGGTACAGAGCTAGACATCACAGGACATAAACATCACAGAATTTGTAAATCACGAAACATGAACGTCTGAATAAAATCTGGACATCGCAGAACATGAACGTCACAAATGAGTTCGATGCACATAGAGAGATGAGGTAGCTTGCTCACCTTCAGCTGCGAGGTGGAGCTCGGGAAGAGGTCAGCAGGCCACGAGCCGACGACCAGCGTGGAAGAGGACGAGGTGCTGCCAAACTACAGCTTCGACGGTGGTGACTGGTGATGAACTGTGAGTTGTCTATCTTGCCCGTGTCTTGGGTTCGCCGGATGGGCCTTCGGTAAACATGCAGGACTTTACTAATTCGGTCTATACTGGCTATTCGGTCTTAAAACAGCGGGGCCAAACACACCGTAACAAATTCGGTTTTCTATTTGTGCAGACCGTTTTTTATTTGGTCTTTTCTATCGGTCCTGGTCTTTTCGAGCTTGGTTTTCGGTCTTCGGTTTTTATGCCCGGGGTAAGCTACGGTGATGGTGGCGAAGATGGCTCACCTAAAAAAGTATTTCGCCATGAAACTTTGCAAACAAGCTGTGTAGATCCATATGTATGTGTGTACTTTTTAAAAGAATTTTTAGCCATTTTTATGCATTTTTTGACAAAATTAATGCAGCAACGCGCAGTGTACCATCCAAGGGGAAATAACCTTTTCAGTGAGAGCAACGGATATTTAGACATATTAACATTATTAGAGGGTATTCCCTCATGTTCAAAAAAAAAAAGAGGGTATTCCCTCCGTAAACTAATATAAGAGTGATTAGATCACTAATAAGAGCATTTAGATCACTACCTCAGTGTGTTTACTCTTATATTAGTTTACAGAGGGAGTACTTTTCTGCAGTCAATCACGAAATATTTTCTTCAGAGTCAATCGACAAGAGAAAGGTAGCCATCAAATAGCGAATCAATCTCACAGGAAATAAAAGAGGACATCGAGTTAAAGAAACTTTTTCTGAGACGAGTGTAATCATATCCACCTTTTTCATGGTTGAAAATACCACCTTATCCTTTTCGAAAATAAAGATAAGACCTGACGAGGGGGAAAAGCAACCTATTTTTCAAAGGGCAGCAGGACGGGACCTACATTTGGTACTCCTGGGAAAAATATGATAAATCCTAACCTCATTTTTCCAACATGCCAAAAATTGTCAGAACTACTTGTGAACCACCTCCCCAAGTTGATAGACGAGAGTCATCAGGGAAAAAAATCTCGACTTGTTAATCTAGACAAAACTCATGCCAAGGACTCTTTGCTATCAGTTCTCAGCATCAAAAGGTGTGACTAGCCATTGCATTTTGCAAACTGTGGCTTCCATAGTCCCTAAGTACCTGCCTTTTAAAGCGTCTGTTTTCTGTACTCTAGGCTCCTTCAACCTTTCATTTAGCTCTGACCGCAAAGATAAAGGAGAATTATCTTGATGTCGGCGTTGGCTTCCATGGAGAAAAGCCTCTGCTCCAGCCCCTTATGGCGCCTCACCTGCACAAGATTGCAATTGGTGTCATAACAAAAAATGGCGTCAAATGTTTTTCATGTGAACAAGTAACTACAGGCTACTAATTAAGTCCAAACATTACGGGCCTCAAGTTTTGGTGAATTGGGCATATGTCACTAGAGTGTGAAGGACATCAGAAATTAAGAATGAAAATGACTTACATAGTCAGCAATTTCTTCCAAACCCAAAGGTTGCACCTTTTCATCTTTACTCCAGCCAAGGGATATCATGAAAGCCAGATCTTCTGCAGTGAATATGGCTTCAGCTGGATACTCCTCATCTTCTGGTTCAGTAGCCTCTGACGATGAACTAGCGTCCTCATTGCCAGACTGTGAGTTCTTGTATCCATCATCTGAATCTGCAAGTGCTGAGGAGGAGCTACCATCTGCATTGTCTGAGCCGGATACCTGGAATCCATCATCTCCTGTGTCAGCAAGTTCGGATGAGGAGTCGGACTCCAGGTTTTCTACAACAAGCTGCTGAGATCCCCCAGCTGCCATGTCAACAGACTGCAAGGATGACTTGTTCTCTTCATTGTCTGAATGGTGCCGCTGGGATCCCTCGGAAGAATTTGCTTCTTCACAGAAACACTTTCCATTCCCCATGCATTTCATTCCAGAATTAAGACAAGAATCATGCTTCGCATCAACTCCGCTGGATGGAGATGGCTCACAACCTGACTCAACGGCTGAACTTGAACCATTAGATTTGGTTCGCAACGACTGGAAGAACTTTAATCTTGATTTGCTAACACCACAAGATGAACCTTGCACTAGAGGAAGATCATGTGTGGAAACCTTGGGCTTTTGGCTGAGAGGAGGCTTCTTGTGTGGTTCCATGGAAGCCACACGAGCTGGAGGACTCGCAGGATTGCCTGGAGAGTCTTTAGGAGTCTGTGCAGTACAATTTTGCTCTCGGCTGAGGATTTTAAAGCTTCCTGAAAGAGTAAGCTTTGAAAGCTCGGCCTTGGCTGGAGCTCGAACAGAACCATTGGCGGGAAGTGCTAATGATTGTTGTATGGCCTTACTAGTACCAGCAAGATCTCCAATCCGTGTTCCTTTTGATTTGGAAGAGCTTGTTACCTGAATAATCTTGAAATAAGTTAGCTAAGCAAAATACATTGGTGCATGCATATCACACACTCAAAAAAGGTGAGACAAACACAACCAGAACACACAATTGCCAGAACCATGTAACGTTTACTAGCATCAGTTTTATGAGTAAGCCTTATCTTTTCAAGGCAAAACTTTTGCTTGCTTTTTAATTATAGTATATGTCGAACACACCTGGTGGCACATTGCACCTCGGGGACAGAACAAGGTCACATCCAGATAATCATAGTCTAGCACACTGCCATCATGGGCATGGTGACACCGATTAGGGCAATGGATGTGGCAACAGCAATCAAATCCATAGGTATAGGATTTGGGAGATTAGTTTCCCTGCTAGATTTAGTAGTTATTTCCTTCTCTTTTTAAGTTACCATTTTACACATCGTTTCAATCAATATTTTGTTATTAGGCACACACACATCTCTGCATAAGATGAACGATTATTTTGATCATCAAGCAAGAGTAGTGATAAATCCTTCTCTACTAGGTTCCCTCTTCTTTCAAGCTGTGCCATCTGGCATCCTTCCACAGTATTTACCTATTGGTCAAACCGTCAAAGTTCATAACACACACAAGGAAAACAACCTATCAAGCTAATTCAGGACAGTAGCCCTTAGGAATACTTCAGAATATATTTTTAAATCGCATTAGAGTGAAACATGAAGCGCAGGAAAGTAGGTATCACATGCAAATTATTTATGCACTTCATAGCAGTCATTCTGCCCATGCTTCTTAACATACAAAATAGCAAGGGTGTAAATATTCCACTTCCAAAGCATGTTTAGATCGCCTTAGTGCATATCTGCACAACCAGTGAAATATAAAGCATCTCCCAGAGTACCATTAGTTGAGTAATGTTCGGGTACAATTAAACATGTGATCATGCTAGAGCAGAAAATCCGATACTACATTTTGCATATATCAGAGGCAAATGAAGTGGCCCATGATGTTATACTAAATCATAACATAGGAAACAGAAAATGTAATGTCTAGTCCAACACCAAGAGTTAACCGTATATACATACATGCATACATACATACATACATACATACATTATACATACATACATACATACATACATACATACATATATATATATATTGATAAATTATTTTATTACTGCAACTGCCAGCAAATATGGGAAGTGATTTACACCCACAAGTAAGAGCAAAAAGTAAATCACAACCATTCTTGCAGGTAAAAGGTACTAAATGTGAAAAAATCTTCTGGTCAAAAGGCAGAAGATAACTCACAGAAGATTTGCTTGTTGCAGAAGTCATAGGTCTTAGAGTGTTTTGTCTCAAAGTTCTTTCTTCAATCTTCTGAGCATCAATTGATAGCTACAAGCAAAAGAGTACGTGAACATGAATCCAGAGAGACAACATTTATATCAATGAGAACATTATAAACACCATGCCATGGTTCCTACCTGAGGTCCAGACGAAGTTCTCTGAGGAGCTTGCATAACAGTCTCTGCCATGCTTAATGCAGTTCCACTGTTCAGTGCTACTTCAGGCTTTTTACTAGGAGCGGCTTGTGGTACAGAAGAGGCAACAAGATTTTTCTTTGGCTCACTTGATAGAGGAGCTCCTACTAGCTTGGAAGTCCAGCCATCAGATGGAGTAAATGGAGGCAGGCTCTGAATTGGGGTGGTGATACCAGGAGATGGGACTCTGCTAATGTCTTGCCTTCCATTCTTGTCCTCGGAACTAAGCTGTGGGAATTCTCGCTCAAAGGCAACGCCAACAGTATTGCTTTTAGATGTACTACCATTATTTAGACTAATTACTCCCTTACTTGATGTGTCTGCCTTCGAGCGAGCACGATTTAACCTATCCCTTTCAGGTCTACATGAGCTAAATGATTGAAAGCCATCACGATCTGCTGTAACGGACCTACTCTCCCTATCACGGGAATCAAAATCCTTCTCCCTCTCCTTATCCTTGTTCCTTCCAAAATTTGCATAGCCCCTTGTCTTCCCCATGTCATCCCGGTCAAGCCTCCGGGATCCACTTGAGACTGAACTCCTCCGTGATGAAGACTGCCGAGAACTCTGGTCACGGTTGTGCCCAGATGAGCGATTTCTTGATGAACCACCCTTACCTTGACAATCTACTAGAATATCCAAGAGAAGACTTGTTAGGATAATATATGACAGCATTGCAACACAGAAAAACAATGCCACTTATAGTTCACAGGTGTATGAAACTACAATGTCTCCCCCTCCCCCCACCCCACGTAAGAGTCATTCTTCATAATGGCATTTGCAGACAAACAGTATGCTCGTAAGAGCACAGAAAAATCACTGTAATTGAAAAGAAGTAGCAGGGTATGTCTGCATGGTGGCCAAAACTCGCCTGCCACCAAGATAACAATTTTAGGATGGTTGCCAATTATTTGGGGGGCCAATGCCTCCTTAGCACCATATTAAGTTCATCTTTCTTGCCAATGTTGGCCAATTCCATTTATTTGTTGAAAGTTAACATTAGTAGGTCAAACAGCCTTCCATAGTAACAAAAAGTGCTGCTTCCTAGTACAACAATGTATAGATGGTTCAATTTAAGTGTGATGCCCTTTTAGCAAGGTACTTTCCGCTTGCAAATAATTGTCGTTTAGCTGTTCAAGGAAACATATTCCACCAACAACTATAAATGTTAAATTGGTATACTACAGAGTAAATAAAGCATGGTCATAAATAAATTAATAAAGCATTAACCCCTCAGTTGATGGCTTGATCTACTTTGTAAACCAGAGGGACGCTTCTAGCGTCTTCGTTCCAAAAAAAAAATGTGTCACGAGCCTTCCAGATGTTACCATGTTTACAAATAGTATAAACTACAGTAAAACATGTAATGAACACAACGCAATGGTTTGTTATTGCAGCTGACACCCGCAGCTGATACCACCTGAATCGTATGAGCATCATTTCGAACTACAGGAACCCTTGATACTAGATAAATAACACATGAATTCTTCAATGATGCCCATATTTGTGCCAATATTCCCATCATCTAATCTAATTAATCCAAGAAACAACATTCGAATTCACCAATCTCTATTTTCAAAGCAAACCAATCTCTATTTTCAAAGCAAAATCACATCAGGCTAAAAGGCACCACAAAACCCTAATCTCCTCTTAAACAATACCCGCACGCAAGTATCCCATTAAATAAGCATGTATCTCCAGCGTGAATCAAGATGCATCCCGTTTCACCACAGATGTCCACATTCAATCATAGAAAGCCACAGCTAGCAGCACCCGGCGATAGATTACATTTATAACACTAGCAGTCTGAGAGTAGCAAACACAAAATTGGAAGGCTGGTGAATTCACCTTTGCGTGACGAAGCTGCGGCCCAGAGGGTCGCGGCACCAGTGGCCGTGACCTGTCCCTGCATCAGCCATTGCGGCTTGAAGGCGGGTATGTCCTGCTCCATGGGGGGCACCACTCACCATCTACCCACCAATGGCTGCGGAAAGGGGAGGTCCTTCTCCAGCGATCCAATCGGTGCGCCCACCAGCCTAATCCGCGGCTGCAATGCCACGCCGCCGCCGCTGCCAACGCTCCGCTCCTATCCCCTTATCACCAATCAACGCATGCCGGCGACCTCCACGCCACCCCTCCGTGGAGGCAGGGCTACCACCGAAACCCTAGCGCGGCAGCGCCTTCGCCTCGCCGCCCAACCGAAACCCTAGATAGGGCTATCACCAGAGCCGCCCCTATAATCAGCCCCGAAAAAATCACGGGGAAAAAAATCGGGGCCGCCGCCGCCTCCAATTGCCCCCGTATCGTATCACGGGGCGCCTCTCTCCCAATTGAAGGGCCCCCAATCCGCTCGTAATCAGTCGGCGAGATAGGGGTAAGGTCGTATCGGCGTCGATTTCTTGAGCTGGGTCGGCGAGTTTGCCCTCGGCGAATTGAAACGGCCGGCGGCTGCGGG